TATTTTGTTACATTGAGAGATTCAATGTTATTTAACTAAAAACTATTTTTCGTTTTGCGTATGCAGATACACATTTCTTCACTGATCACCTTTTCCTTATTTCGCCGATCGAATCTGATTAGATGGGAATATCCCATTTGACCGCTATATCTCGTCAGGTAGAAGACGTTTCCGTTCGCTGTATCGAGGCCGCGATTAAGTGATTTCGCGAATAATGAAGAGCGTGGAAGAAGTCCACGTGCCTTTAGGCTTAAATCCTTTAGGATTTAAATTCCAGGAAGGCACGGCGGTTAGACGTTCTACGAAGACGAGAGCCTTTACGTAACTTGAAATTCTTGTGCTAATTTGATATCTCTTATTAAAGAATTATGTGACAACTGTGCACAATTCCTCCACAGCGAGAATATCATAAAAGATGTACTGTGATGGACAGAATGGCCGCGACACTTTGTTTTTAGTGAGTTTAGAGACGCGCATTTAGATTCAGGTTTACGTTCCAAAACATTTTCTCTGGGGACAATTTTACTTGAGAAATAGATCGGAAACGCTTGAAATGGTTTTGGAATGGCCATCCAGTAAAATATTCCTCGGGGGAAGATTTTGGAAGGTAACCGAAGAAAAGTGTCGCAACTATTCACTGTCCATCACTGTACGCGTGTAAAAATTCCTGATACTTTTCCACGTCAATTCTCGGGAAAAAATCGTCGTTCAATTTATCTCTGGAAATTGAAACTTTGTTTTAATTCTGTGTCCGTCCTGCAAAATTAATTTTTGCTATTCCGTGAGGAAGTCTGCAGCGAGTTGCGCTGTAAAAAAAGTATGTAAAATTACGTATATAACACGTGTAGCGATTAACATATACACAATTAAAAGCAAGTAGTTCACTTATTATGTAAGGTAATAATTTTGCTTACAAGGTGTAATTTTACTGACGTATGTAAATGTACACCTTGAATAGATGGTCCCAATATTACCCACTATAAGAAATGTAATTTTACATGTAATTTTTTTACAGTGTGGGAGAAGAATCTTATATCAAATTCCGAAATATACGAATAAATGACTGTGACATTATTCTGGTAGAAATTACGATGATCGCGCATCGCTTTCGCGATGCGTTCCGTTGCAGCGGCGTTACTTTTTTACGGAGCACCTTACACAAACTCTTAAGTATTCTCGAGACGTTGGCATCGATGTAAATATGTGTAAGTACACCTGCGGAGAGACGATATTCTTTGCAGATTAATAAAAGTTTCAGGGCACTACCGATGGTTATCGTGTAAAAAATCGACTGTAATTATTAATAATTAACATCTCGAGTCATCGTTCCGTGCCTTACGGCTCTTTTATTCTCAATTTGTTGGCATGACGACTGACTTTTGCATCGGTGTTAAATTCGATAGAACGTGGCTTCTTCGTATTGTTCGACGCGATTAAGTGTTACTCTGTGTAACGGCGCGGCTGCCTAACCGTTACACTGTAAAAAATTACATGTAAAATTACAATTATAGTGGGTAATATATTGGGACCATCTGTTAAAGGTGTATATTTACATACGTCAGTAAATTTACACCTTCTAGGTAAAATTGGTACCTTTTTTGTAATTTTTCATCATTTATTAAAGAGTAAAAAAAATTTTTTTTTAAGTACATAAATTTATATATACCTATATTTCTGTTATTAATAGTGTAATCGCTACATTTATTATGTATGCAAGTTTAGATACTTTTTTTACAGTGTACGAGAGAGCTTCTTTCATTCGGGCGTAATTAAACGGGAGTGGTGTCGTTTTAGTCTGTTTGCATTCCATGGTGTTTAAGTCGCTCGATGACGTAACTTCATCTTTCGTATCGTATCGCAGTGCGTAGCAACCGTGCGGCTTGGAACAAATCGCGTTGGAGTTGGCGCGCCATAAATTACCACGTGCGTCAACCTCTCACTTGAGATGTGAAAAGTTTGACGAAAACGAGATTATTTCCTACGGGAAATTATTTTTCAACTACACAAACTGACACGGCAGTTCCTTGTCGATACATGACATTTTTCTTCCCTCCTGCGATATTTATGCCAAGCCTGATTGAGATAGGGGCTCATTAGGGGCGAGGACGTCTCGATCGATGGCGCCCGGCACGTATGAAGCGACGATAGAAACCCCGGGCCATCTGCGGCACACATATGTTTACGACACACATACACACGCGCGCATACGTCCGCGGGTGCTCCGCGCGTTGCTATCGTTGCATAAGCTAACCATATCTTCAGTCGCTCACCCCGGACTCTCCCTGGCGTATGCAGCTGTTAGGGGCGAGGGAAAGGGGAAAAAGTGAGGGTGAAGCAGATTGCACGCCACGTACCGAGGAGGCATTCGACATTGCCTTCTGTTCTCGTTTGCATTGTTACTCGGCGGGACAGCGCGCGGACCTACCTCCGCGAATTTCGTACATTAGAATTCGCGGGAATTACATCTTCAGAATTTAATTGGATTCAATCAAGAATTCCTAGAGTGTCCCGTTTTGCAGAAGGCAATTGAACGAAAAACGATGAATTATTCAGAGTTGGGAAAGTTATTTTTTTTAAGTATCTAGTTTACAGTTACAAGTTATCAATTCTGAAAAGTAACGTGTTACAGTTACTCAAAAAGTAACGAATCGTTACTTTGCAGTTACTTTCTTGCAACGAAAATAAAAATATGAAATCTACATTTGAATTGTAAACCGTCGATAAAGGCGTTTATGCACAAATGCAAGGCCTGATGCGATCTGTGGAGGTTTAAAAAATATATAAAGCAACTGTTAATGTAACTATATTAAATTAGTTGCTAAATACATTTTATTGATTCCCCTTAGGGTTAAAAGGCGTGTTTGAAAGAACGTGCCCAAACCTTTTATAACACCTCTCTCTATATCCATTTCACTATGTGGCGATCGAACGGAAAACCAACAATGTTTTGTTTGGTTTTGAACCCACGATCGCCACTTATTAAATTAGTTACTAGTTATCGAGAAAATGTAACTGAGTTGAGTTGCAGTTACAGATGGAGAAAAGGTAACGAAGTTAAGTTAGAGTTACCAAAGAAAAGTAACTGTAACTGTAACTTCGTTACAAGTAACGAGTTGCTTACCAAACCTGGAAAAATTATATTTATACTTGTGTAAATGGCATTACGGAAGAGGAGATGCGCTCATTTTCTCACAGGATGTTATTAGAAACATTTAGGAAGTTACAATACATGGATAGAATCTAATTTTCCACTTTTTCTGCCTTTTACTGATATTATTAATGTTGGTTATAATCGTATTACTCTTCAGAATTAAAGAGCAGTTTCTTAATCGAGTTTAATAAATTGTTAAAATTCACAAGGCTTACATATGAAAACAAATTCGAAGGACTCAGAGCCATGACAGGATGTCAGTGTCGAAATAATTTTTATTTCGTCACCCAGGCTGAGGTAACATATTTTTCTCAACAAATTTGAAATAAAAATTATTTCGACACTAACATCCTGCCATGGCTCTGGATCCTGTATTCCTTTGAATTTTAATAAATTGTATATTTATTTAACGTCTTTAGTTATTTTATAACTCGCGCCGTCTCACCGCCCTGCCGAAAATAATGCTACAAAGTTCTACAAAACTATAAAATATAACTGCCAGAATCTAAGAAATTCTACGTAAATTTAAAAAGTGTTATAAAAATCAACATAAAGGTGTTATTAGAATTGGAACACTTTTGTTAATTTTTGTAATATTCTACAATTAAGCAGATGTTTTAATTCTTTAAGATGTTGTTTCTCAAATTTTTGAAACTAGTAAAGTTTTGTACTAATTTTTACAAAATTATACATTTTCATGAGATACTACTTGCAATAATTTCTTGATTTGAGAACATTGTAATTTGTGGTACTATTTCGTAGATATTTTTACAAAAAATTAATGTTTCAACGAAAATATAAAATTTTCTACAAATTTCTATTTCAAGTCAATTTATGTAGTTATTTATAGAAATTTTTTTCCGCTCGGGCGTAAAGGATGGACTTCTGTTCGGGGGGTGGCCAGGGAAGTCGGAGTATGTAAAAGCCTAATAAGGAAGTGCTCCAATTACCTGCGTACGAAACGTGACGGGAAGTCTCAGGGCGAGGGAGGATCAGGTCGTTTGTAACCGCAAGAACCGACATTTTCGCGGTCAGAATCGCTTCCCGAATCGCGATGGTGGCGAAATTAGAAGAGGGCGGCGACGATAAGAGCCGCGCGACAAAAAAGAAAAGAAAGGAAGAGTCGGGGCAGGAAGGATACTCACCCATCCGTGATTTCCCGTCTCAGCCGTTACTTCCCGGATAGATACAAGATACACATATTCGTTAAAGCTTCCGTATTCGGCTCTTGCGCTGTCATGGAGTCCTGATTCTCGCTGATTATGAGCAAACGGGAAGGAAGACGCTCATTTCCTCGCAGGACCATGTTATTTAGGAAATTACATTGTCAAAATCTTATCTCCCACTTACCACTTCTTACCGCCATTGTGAGTCTATGAGAATATCGAGTGTGCTTTGTCTTCTTCATCAGTGACTGCAATAAAATCTGACACGAATTATTTGACGAGAATAAACTGAATCTTGCAGTCTTGTAACTGCATCAAAGGTTTTAATATCTAAACGTGATCTTTTATTATAGAGGAAAGTTCCCTATTATGAGACAGGCTCCTAATATGAGATAGCGGGGGGTTTTCACTAAATTAATAGGCATCGTCTGTTGGTGCCACCATGAATTTACTGCCCTTGGAGTGAGATCTATTTAGCGGGAAGTTCATCGTTAGATTGTGTAATCGCCGCGAAAGAAGATTGTGATTGAATTTGGATATTGAAAACCTGCTATCTCATATTAGAAGCCTATCTTATATTGGGGGACCTTCCTCTATTAAAAAAATTATTTATTGCCTTTACTTACAATGAATTTGTCTCGACACCAGTTATCTCATTGCTATGCTATTGTTTGTTGTTCCAGGTCTCGATCTGGTTACGATTCTAGCAGCGGAGAGTCCGACAACGAGTACGGCGCACCGGTTAGTCAAGTACAGAACCAAGCGCCAAGTCAACGTCCTACAAACATCGCCAATTACGGGCAAGGGAAGCACATAAATAAAGGACGTTGGACCAAAGAAGAAGTAAGTTTATCGTCTTCTCAGTCTTTGCAAATGACATGGTATTGCGGTTCTATTTCATCAGTTTTATTTTGAGACCTGTGTGCTTTCAACCCTCGCTTCCACCACCATGGAATAATATTTTTCAAAGTTTTTCATACGTGAGGTACGGGGTATCGAATCCGGATTCTTCGCTTAACATACAATCGTTTCGATCGTTGAGCCAGTACCCCCCAAATGTTAGAAGAAAGTTCCCTGTTATGAGATAGCATGCTTTCAACGTCCAAATTCAATCACAAATTTTTCTTCGCGACGATTACGCGATCTAACAATGAATTTTCCATTTAACCAGAAAATGAAAAACCGGACCTTGGTCTGTTGAAAGTCAGTCGATTCAGAGAAAAACTTTTAACGTTCAACAGTGGATTAATCGCAATAAAATCAATATTTTACGAATTTTATTATCCGTCCGGGAAACTCTCCCGGCAGATCTTTTAAATTTATATCGGTTCCGGCTCTACGTTTTTATACGTCAGGCATATATATTGTTACGTGTATCGCTTCCATGCAGCAAGTTGAGGGGAAAGAGGACGGGGGAAAACAATGAACATGGGATCCCCCCCCCCCCCCAAAAAAAATGTCCACCCCTCGTATTTTCTGCAGCGAGTCGTGCCGCCGTGTCGGGAGGCAGATGCCTCGGTTACCCCATAGAACATGGGGTGTACTTACGCGGCTTCACGTGGGAAAGCCTACGAGGGTCGATCGATCTCCCATGCGTCCGTCCTTCCTCGTTTCGTGCATTTAAGGCGCGCGAATAAAACGCCAGTCGGGCAAGGTGGAACGAAATATTTTCACTCTTCTACAAATTGCTCTCCCTCTTGCAGGACGCTTTATTGAAACAACTGGTGAGCAACGCGGAACGGCAAGGCACTGGTTTACGATGGGACATCATATCCGGCCAGTTTCCAGATCGGAGCGACGTACAGTGCCAACAGAGATGGGCGAAGGTCGTGAACCCGGAGCTGGTCAAGGGTCCGTGGACGAAGGAGGTGGGCAGCTTTCGCTAACGTCCCATTCTCACCATCCCGAAAACCTTTCCCGAATTTCATCAGTCTTCGATAATCTTACACCAAATATATATGTACGATAAAATGAGTATGTTTGATGCGATCGCACTTGGACTTCTCTTCCGCAACTCCGAAGAATTACTGAATCGTTTATAGAAATCATTAAAGTTTCAAAAAGAAGGTGAGTTTCACGAAGCCGAATGTTTTCCCTCGCGTTGTTACGACGACCGAGTGCCGCATCGATGCCGCGAAGCGGTCACGTTGCAGCCGAGTTTTTCAATGCCGACCGCTGCGTAGGATAGCGCCGTTGTACGGCACTGCACATACCACCTACACGAGGCGAACCGCATACAGACATAAGAATCCCGGCACTCGTGCCTGCCGCTCGCCTCGGTGGGGTATGCAATAAGAAAAAGCTGGGATCGCGGTGATGCTGCGTCGCCATGCCAATGCACTTGGCAACAGTCAAGGGCAAGTAGCGCGACTCCGGGACTCTCGAGTACGTGCGATTATAGCGTTTCCCACTGATATCCCTTCGCCGAGGTACCTGCTCGGTATCTTGCTTATACTCGCATGTCGTCCTATAACAAATCAGATTATTTATGATTAGACGTGTAGACGTGAGATGTTCAGGGCGTAACATTTTTCTTGAAGCTACATTTCTTGGCAGAAAGCTGAAACTAAATCGTTATTTCATTATCGAATATTATTTTACTAGTCTTGAGATTCCCATATTGCGTTCATATGTTAAAAGAAACTATGTAAATGCAACGCAAATAATGCATACGAATTTCTTATTGCTGCAAAATATTTCTTTAAGATATCTTACATGGATACACGTTCCTTCATTATATTTCACAAATTCTTCTGTTTTACAGGAAGATGAGAAGGTGGTGGAACTTGTAGAAAAATATGGCCCGAAGAAGTGGACGCTGATAGCGCGGTATCTTCGAGGCCGGATCGGCAAGCAGTGCCGAGAACGATGGCACAATCACTTGAATCCAGATATAAAGAAAACAGCATGGACGGAGGCTGAGGATAGAGTAATCGTCGAGGCCCATCGGCGGGTCGGCAATCAATGGGCAAAGATCGCCAAGCTCTTGCCGGGTAGGACTGACAATGCGATTAAAAATCATTGGAATAGTACGATGAGAAGGAAATATGAAGGCGAGGAAGGAAGAACTGCGACTAAAGGTACTACTTGCGATATGGGCGGTGATATAAAAATTTTGCTGTAACAATATCATAACAATATGTAATGTTTAACGTGATAAAATATGTGATTTTTCCTTATTGAACTGTATGTAATTCTGTTTATAATGCCTGCTAGACTTGATAGAAAACTGTTAGAAATAAACGAAATTCACTGTATATAGGCAGAAGCAAGAGAAAAAATACTCATGGCACTGCCCTAAGGGATCCACTTCTTCTGGACGATGATCAGAATCCGATGAAGGCTGCCTCGAGCAGTTCGACAGTAACGGCGGGTAGCTCTTCTCAAAATCTCAACATCGATCTGGATTGGGTCAGAAATTGGGAACAGCATGCTACAGCGGGATACCAGAACACACTACAGATGAACAGGCATACGCACGACATTGAAAAGTCTGATTCTCCATTGAAAAGAGGCTCTGCGCGAGTGAAAACCGAAACGGTCTCGTTACCAAAGTATGTCTTTGACACGAACGAATATCCATTTATTTCTTTCCGTATTAATAATTCTATCTGTAGATATTTCAACCTGCAACAAATGCCAAACGAGACGTCCGGTTCAAAGAGTTCGGAAATAAAACTGATGCCGATGCCCGACATAGAGGATACGTCCGAACAGCACATGGAGAAGAAGAGTCAGCCGCCTATATTACGTAGGCGCAAAAACAATAACATTTTGCTGCAGAGGATAGACATCTCTGCCACCGGGGATCACTCGGATTACATCGTAATGAGCCAACAGGTGCAAACGGGAAACATCACCCCCTCAACTCCTATCAAGCAACTTCCGTTCAGTCCTTCGCAATTTCTGAACAGTCTGAGTCCGTCGGAGACGTGGCCGCGCGCGAGTACGCCTAAGGGAAGCAGTCCTGGTCCGCTTACGACTCCGCAACCTACTGGTTTCCGACGAAGTCAAAACGGTATACCCCCTATTGAATTTATATGTATCGCTACAAGTTTCAAACGAATCGTATAAATTCGCAAATTCAATATTTTTCTATAGCCCATGAAATATCTACTAAATTAATGCCTACGTGTACATTTTAAGTAAATGAAAGATTTTTCTTAGGTTCGCTCGTTGCTTTTACAGACGGTAATACACCAAGGACACCTACGCCATTCAAAAACGCCCTGGCTGAGCTCGAACGACGAACCGGAGCCGGTCAGTTGCCTGCTACTCCTAGTCGCCTGGATGCACTGACTGAGATAATAAAGCAGGAGACTGAGAATGAGGCTGGAACGAGTACGATTCAGGACCAAGATTCGGGCTACAACAGTATGATACGAAGGCGTGGTAAAGAGAACAGTGCGCCAGGAAAACGCGCGCGGAAGGCGCTTTCCTCGGCTTGGGCTCAGGATAGCTCCGAAATGAGTTTCCTTGTGGAAACGCCAGTATGTTGTTCAGATAATCACGTTGCGTTCAATGAACACAAAAGTTACAAGTGATCAGCTTTTACAAAATGCATCTGACTTGATAAATCCATAAATATATATTGTACCAGTCACAATTTCATCTCCAATATGTAATTTTATAACATTTTAATTGTTATGTTGATTGAACGCACTCATAACTCCCGAGAAATTTGCAACAAACGGATAATATACTTGTTTCTTCTATCGTAGAGTAAAAGTTTGGATACTTCTGCACTGTTCTCGCCTGCATCTATGGCGTTGGAAGATAGCTTTTTGACAGGAACCAGTCCCACAAAGGTAGAACAGCGTACTCAAAATCAAAGTCAGATTCATAATCGACCCGTCCTATCCTATTATTATTCTCGAAATCCTCCTTAGACACGCTAGCCGGCCTTCTAACTTCTCTTCCCCAATGCTACTATGTCTTTGTACTTAAATTTTTGCCTGTATCTTCACATCTTATGTTTACATAATGCTTCTCTTACTCATTATTATTTTTTTCTCGAGGACAAAGTCCAATTAGCGCAGGAGATATCAATAACGCTGTTGTTCTTCTACTGCTATTTGTATTCCTTTCGTCGCTTAATATTGCCCAATCCAAAGATTATCATTCTTGTTAATTTTAGGTATAATACTATACATATACAAACTAACATTAAGGTCACTCGGTCTATTTATTGAAACTTACATCAATGCCTGAGAGCTTGGTGGCTAATTTATATTTCTTTAATATTACTATTAATTTTTTATCATTATCATAAATATTAATTTTGTACATCGTAAAATGAAAGAAAATGTTTATGTTATTCATTTGTGACCAATAGAAGAAAGCGTTTAAATTTATTTATACGCATACCTTTGTGACAAACATTCGTTGGTCTCGCAAATTGTGGTCATTTCTATCTTCTGCTCGAAGAATTATTTCGTTGTAAGCTTGTACATACAATCGGCATGTGACCGATCTTGTTTCGTTTTTGTTTGCTTCAGTATTATTAACTTTGCTGAGAATAAATTCTGATAACGAATCGTGAATGACTAATATATTAATAACGTTGCTTGAAAAATATGCGGCTACCGCCGCATATGGGAAAGGGTTTCGTACAATCGATCCTACGTAAATTTTGTCATTTCAAACATGTTAACATCCATCCTGATCTTTACCCTTTATAACGAATCCTCGATGTAGCCCTGCACGAGCATAATGTTTTTTTAATTATTTTTATTAGTATTTATATATAAAATAATATATATGTAAATATTTATATTATTTATACGTACTTGTTTTCTTTTTTTTATAATATATTGAGTTGTCGCATGTTAATTGCATACACTAACTAATAAATTGCATTCACTAACTGAAATAGTTTTCCTCGTACAGGCCTGGCCTAGCGTACCAAAGTACCTCAATCTTTTCCCAATCCAAAGATATTTATACGGAATATCCGGTCGAGAACAACCTTAGTGTACGGCGCGAATCCAAAATGTGAAGGCCTAGTCTCTTTTTTTTTATTTGGACATATGTTCAAATTGACCATTGAGATAAAGCATCATGCGTTTTTCCACCTCTCTTTCTCACATACTGAGACCTTTTTTGAAAAGAAAAAGAATCCAGAGAGATCTTTATCATTTTCCTTATTTTATAAAGTTTAGTAGAAAAGTCGGAATGAAAGTAATCCAGATATTCTTAAATTATAGTTTGATGAGTTGAGAGAGTATTTGGAGATGAGATCTTGTAAACTTGAGCTTGTAAACAGGGAGCGGTATACAAACAAAAGTCCTTGCCTAGAATCAGCCTTTACACCTTCATCCAAGAGCCTAGTCATTCCACAAATTGTGGGCAGTCTTCTCCTCTTTTTCTCTCTCTCTTTCTCTTCCTCTGGATAAACGTTAAAAGCGAAATGAGAACACAACGAGAAGTGTCATCGCAATTCCTTTAATCCTCGAAAAATATGAGTTTCGATCTGTCATCTGAGATCTGTCTCTCTTCAATTACTTGCAAGTCTTTTCCCCTCTCGTATCCCTCAAAATCACTCTTTGAAATATATCTATTTTTTTCTAAGAACATTCTCTTATTCGCCGGCTGTAGCTAGTGTGTCTATCCTTTCCAGACTCCTCACGACTTTACGTCCGTACAACAACGGAAGCCGAATGCCAAGAGAGCGATCACGTTCGACGCATTCGACAGTCCTTATTGTATCTTCAGCCCTCTGCCTCTCAGACCGGTAAAACGCACCAAGGTAAGTTTCTCGTTTAAAACTTTGTCTTTTTCACGCAGGTCGTGTACTTACAAACGTTAATTAGATCGAGCTTTAATTTACTTTCAAATTAATTGAATGATTGCAACTAATTATAAATTGGATGCAGTTATGCAATAAAGAACCGAGTGTCATTTCCGTATTGATATTTAGTTCTGTATTGCAAAGAGATCATGGAGGTCTTGTATGATGACCTAACTTCTATCTGTAAACAATCGCGCATGACACAAGAAGATATATATTTGAGGTCAGTCGTTATATTTAAGATAATGTTGGCGCAAAATTTCATTTTTAATTTTTCGCGAAACTTGTTCCAGCGGAAAAGTGAGATTTTGGAGTTGGTTCCGCATTGCAGAACTGTATCCAATTGTGTCCGATATTGTATGTTTATATCACAGCAATTATTAAATTTTACATTCGTTACTGCGTGCGCGGCTAGGTAGAATGTTGTAATAAATTAAACAAGTCCCATATTGTAACACGGCTGCTACAGGTGTACTGCGCTAAAATTGCAATAATCAAAGGATTTTTTTCCCCCAATCATAGACACAATTGGAAACGCAATGGATAACAGTGGCGTGCGGTCGTACCCATGACCAGATTGAGATGACCCGAGCCGCCCGACGCTTCTTGAGCAATCACGGGTGGCTGCCGTTGTGTCCACGTTCTTTAAATTTTTGAGAAAAGGAAGAACGGAAAGGAATGTAAAAAAGCTGAATACCGGCGCTCGGATGCACTTTGTCGTACAAAAGAAGAAATGTCAGAGATGACATAACTAGTCGTAGATGAAAATATAAGGCCGCTTCTGTTTCAGGAACGCGTGATCACTATCGGTTGTTTCACGCGCTATGAATTCGAAATGTAAATTATTCAACGAATTCGATCGGTTGACCTCGATGTGCATAGATTAACTCTACACTGCACGGGTAAAAAGGAGAATATCTGAGAAAAAGGTGGTAAAAGTAAATGATGGTAAAATCATATCCTTTGGAAAATGATGACAAATCCAGAATCATGGAAACGGGTATCTTTCTTCCTCCATCTTTCTCTTTAGAAAGTTGCACACACACACACACACACACACACATTTTTATCATGCACTTACAAAAAACAATTTACTTATTCGAATAATTGATATTTGCTTCTGGAAGTTATAGGTTGCTAAAAAAGAAAATTATATTTTTCCTCTTGCGAGATAATTATCTAACATAAAAGAGCAGATGTGAGAGATGGAGCGAAGATGTTTCACGAGTTGTAAACTTTACAAAACATTGTCACTTTGTAGAATTATTTTATACTTTGAGATTACTTTTTGGAGATATACCTACTTCATATATGTTTGTTTCCTTTTTGAAGTTGGGATTCTGAATCTACTTTTGAACAGGTACCAAATGAAAGTTGAATTTGTGCAAAGACAAGACTATGTTTAACCCGTGTGCGCACTGTAGGGTTAAAAGTTTCTCGTCGTTGTAGATATCGTCGGTAATTTTGGACGCGTCGAGTGCAATTTGTTGAATTCGCTTACACGTAACATACGATAACCAAAACACGGTGCAACCGAATTTTCAAACGTTCATTACGGGATTGTTGCACTTTGCCGACTTAAATTCTGTCGCGCCGTTCTCACCCAAGGTGTAAGTAATACGAATACGAAAATAGATTTTTTAGTGTCCACATACTGGATAATAAGAAGTAGGATACTATATATAATTTTGTAATTTTATTTACTAGCTTTCCTTCCGTCCCATGAGAGAATGATTTCAGTCTGCCTATCTGATTAAATTGAAGAGAAAATGAATTTAAAACATAGGCAATAAATCTAAACGTCATTATCGCGTGACATTGTTACGTTTATTCTAGAGGCGATTTCTATGGGAAGTATCTGGCAGATGGAATCATTCCTTCATAGAACAAAAACCTGCCTCAAAATAGCAATCCTGCTTCCGTTTCATCATGAAATTTTTAATGCACATACCTGAAAGATCGAATAAACGCGGATACCAAATTATTATACTCTCGTCGAAACACACGCCATTTTCGTACCATTTCTTGTCCTCTCTCTTTCTCTCTCCCTCTCTCTCTCTCCTTCCCTCTCTTTTCTATGGGAAAGATGAAAAGAATAAATTTATAATTCATTTATTTGATATAGTAGTATATATTATACGTAATATAAAACAAAATCATTATTGCAACCATTATGTACAAAGAACCTTTGTAATTCATATTTAATTTACAAGTGAATAATAAAATCGTGATAATAATCACAATGGGATCTACGTATATCGTTCTGTGTCACAAAGTATCTCTAATGCAGATAGGACACTATGCGTGATGCTTTTAATCTGTCGACAAGTCCTAAACAGGTAAACATTTAACATTAATCAAGTTGTTTCAGTAGAACTAGCAACATTACACAATTAAATGCAATTGTCATAGCACCCATTAATATTCCTGAAAACATATATGTATGTATATATGAAGAACAATATTAACGAATGTGACAATTATTAATTGCACTGTTTGCCGATGTATGGAATTATATAACAATATAACATAATATAACAATATGATATCGAGCAGCCTAAAAAATTTTCGACACTTGTGCATCCAAGTATGCTTCATTTTTATAACATTGTATATAAAAGAGAAACCTACAGATTTTTAAGTGCTGCTCAATATTTTAGAGCTTGTTAAAAATATCACTAAAACATAAAAAATGTCGCTAAAATATATAATTAATATTCTCTCAAATAGATTGAAAAAATGGAATGATAAAGGTCAACGACGTATCGATTTGCCTCAGAAATGAAATCTTGTAAAATTGCATTTCAAGCGACACTTGACCTATAACATTTTAAATAATCCTACATCAAATCCGAGCTTTACAGAAAACTTAATCGCGTTTGTCGAATGTTTCTAGAAGTTCATCATAAAGTGAGCTATATTTGACAACAGCTATTCAGCAATTAGAAATTATCAAACGTGACAGTAAGATTCATTATATTAATGCCGTGATTATTCGAGTATTTCGTCTAGATATGTGTACAATTACACTAAAACAGATTATGTAGATTTATATATTAATAGGTGAATGTAATTAGCTAGTAGAAGAATGCTTCTTATTAATCAACGAAAAGTACTTTTCCCTAATTATTCGCTATAACATTGATACATTTTATTGTTGCATTAATGTGTGCCACCCATGTGGATTCGTCTGTGTTTTGTATAAAACATTCACACTTACGAGAAAAATCGTAATAGGAGCAGCAATACGCGCTCAAATCTTCCGCGACTAGATTATGTGACTAAATGAGATCTTTTCCTAAATAAAACAGAATGTATAAGGCTGGAAGTTTCCTAGCGATTTACGAACAGAAATTTGTCAAGCTTAACTAACTCTTGTTTTTACATGGTTGACTTATGCGAAATGTACTGTCATTTAAAGTACAAACAGTTAGGCCATCGGTTTATACATTTTAATATGGCAAGAGTGCTATACGGATTGTCTTCTACTGCCAATGATAGGATTTTGTAGATATTTATGCAGAACTAGTGTTGCAGCAACGCACATATACATACACATATATATATATATGTGCAGAATATGTAGTTTTACTCAATATAGGGTGACACCGTGCTACATTACCTAATAACATGAAAAATTTCGAAACGTATTATTTTTTCCATCTTCTCTTAAACACACGTACATATACACACATACATACACACGTGCCATTTCACAATTTTCTAATTATTTTCTTAGGCGTAATTAGTAGTCAGTTACTAACGCAGTTGCCATCCTGAAGATAAATGTAACCAGACGCAGAAAATATATACAGAATGTCCAAAGATCTACCACGCGGAATTTGTATCGATAATCTTTTTGGAGCAATTTGAAATTCAAATTTTCTGGACCAAGAATGTTAAAGTAATTACAAGTACTTTTAAGCTAAGAAAGGAATGCAACGCTTTAATCACAGAATTTATTGAGATTGAAAAGTTGCAACAAAATCAAATATATATATATATATTTTTAAAGAATCAACTCTAAATTTATCACATATTTCTGAAATATTGCGCGACAAGTCTGGAATATCTCATCTAACGAGATAAAAATGGCGAAAACAAAATCGATAACGTAATATACTCAAAAAAGATGTTCTGCAAACCATTTCCATGTTGACCCCTTTATCGTTCATTGCGTTTTCAGGTGTAATTTACTAAACACAGAGTTTGCAGAAATATTCTTGTTATATGTACTTACGTTAACGAAATCATCTATTCAACCTCAAAGATTGTGCTATAGCGTGTTATAAAAAAACCGAAAACGGTTATTTAGTTCTGACAATATCAGTGGTCATTTAACAGATATCTTATCTTTTACTGTACTACTTCGGCTAAACAAAAAGTATTACGGAGGCAACAAAAGTGCAATTTGCTACAAAAAGACGAAATAAAGACAAAATTTAAAAATACAAATACTCTTCTATCATCATTACTAAGGTATATTCCTTCCACGATGGATAATATCGGATAATATTCCGAACTTTGGCTTTACGATCCCTCTTTCTCTTCTGTAACACCAGCTGCTTCGTTCAGGGCGTCGGGATCTGTACAAATTATCGAGAATTCACATAATCGTCCACGGACGTGAAATCAATCGATTAGCAATTGATCGTCACCTGAACAAGGGGAGCCTTTTATCCTGCAGGTATTGTAGCTACCACAGTTTAAACACTTCAACCCGACGATGTGAAACTTTACCGTACATTCCTGAAATAACAGGTATCTTGCCATTAATATCTCCTACTCATTTTCCTACGCCACAATATTCGGGATATATGTATGAACAAGTAGATTTCACCTCGTGGCAGTCTTTACATAAGATATCGGTTTTGCAGTCGTTATATTCCTCCGGCATCGGTGTCAGCGACACTTCCGCGTCCAAGTATTTCCACAAATCCGTCATATCTAAGAGCGACACCTGGCAGGACGGGCAGGCGTAATGTCCCGAGTTCAACAATTCCTCAAAACACATGCGGTGAAGCAAATGCCCACAATCGGGAATGTGACATGGTATGCGACTCGTGTGTATGTCTTCCAGGCACACGGGACAATTGGAATGTGAGACATTTTCTATGCACTGCAAAATCAAATTTGTGCCACATTTATATTACAATAAGCTACGTAAAATGTAAATGGCAGCGTTCAATTGTTCCTCCGTGCGCTCGGAATAATAAGCGATAATAATTTTACCATACGTGCATTTTTGCGTCATCCTTACCGTATGTCCGTTTTGCAACTGAATCGGCAAGCACATATTGCACTTGGCACAGTGGAAAAACTTGTCACGGCCACCGACTCTACATATTCCACATCCGTCGCAGTGGTATTGATTTTTATCCTCGTCGTCAAAAAGATTGCACTCGAGGCATGTGTACTTGCCAAATTGACAGTGGCAACTCTGGCAAGTGGCTTGCACAGATTGACGGGCGTCGCAAAGCACGCATATCAATTCTGTGACTTCTTTCCTGTTCACTGTGTGTGTTTCCTGCTCGTCGTGACAAAACCGACAGGTGTACACCTTGTTGCAGCATGGAGTCTACAAAAAAGCAAGAGCGTACCAAAAAAGATTAGATATATTATAATTCCTAATTTGTGCAACAACTGTACACGTATATACATGTACATACAATTACGTGTAAAATAAATACGCAAGAAATTTGAAAGAATAAGAGAGCTAAATACACAAGAGTTTCGCGACTAAGGCCCGGTTTCACCAAACGTCGCTCAACTTCAATCTTACAATTAGCTTAATTCACGTCTGTCTCTTTCTAAAATAACAGAAAGAGACAAAGAACGAATTAAGCTAAGCTTAAAGTTAAACAACATTGGTGAAACTGGATCCAAGGTCTGGTTTCACCGACGTTGTTTAACTTCAAGCTTAGCTTAATTCCTTCCTTGTCTCTTTCCAACTGTTACTTTTGAAAGAGACAAAGAACGAATTAAACCAAGCTTGGAATCCGCGCGACGTTGGTGAAACCGGGCAACACTCAACATTTAAATTGCAGTATCCCTGTCTAAAAAAATACTACAAGTAAAATGTTTCGCATTTTGAGAAACGCCAATTTTGAACTGTTCATAGCAACATTGATCGAATCATCAGTGAGTGTATGTAAATAAGACTGTACCACGAATTTGGACTTGCGCTTGTAGTGCTCGCAGCCGTAGTTATTGCTCGCAGCGGCATGCGTCTCCTTGCCGGAGGTGGACGGGAGATACATCGTCCAGACGCAGTCTCCCTTCTTGGCGGGCTTCCGGGCCTCCTTGCGATCCCTGTCGTCGCAGGCCTCCTTGCGGTTTCTGTCGTCGCAAGCCGCGCAGGCCTCCTTGCGGTCCCTGCCGTCGCAGGCCGCGCAGGCCTCCTTGCGATCCCTGTCGTCGCAACCGGCGGCCTGCTCGGCGTCGCTACTCGGATCCTCGTCGTCGCGGAACGTGACTCGGGCGCCCTGGCTCCGCTCGTTGCTGGCGCGATCCGCGGCGGCCTCCTCGGCGCCGTCGCGTCCCGACGCCCCGTCGTCGCGCTCGCCAACGACCTCGTCGTCGGCGGCGCCGTCGTTGCCCGCCGCCCCCTCGTCGTCGCGATCCGCGACGGCGCGCGCGTTCTCGCTGTCGCTGTTCTCCATGCCGACGTACCCCTACGATTACGCTGCCTCCCTATCTCGTCGGCCTCATCGACCCAGGACGCGACCTTGCCGTCGATTAACGCCGGCGCATCTCGCGCACGCTCTCGTCGTCGTTTTCGTCCTCGTCCTCGTCCTCGGAGCCGTGACTCGAGTCCTTATTTCTGTAAACGAGACCGCCGTGCCCCCCTCGGACGACGCGCGACGAGAAGTCACTCGGGGACGCGGCGCGACGCGACGCGACGCGGCTCGGCTCGGCTCGGCTCAGCTCGGCTCGGTTTCAGGGCCAGTTAAAGGTCTCGGCGCGAAGCAGCGTCGGCGTGATTCCAGGAAAACGGGGTCGATTCGCGTGCGCTCCGTCACGCGGGGCATCCACCAGCGGCGGCAACAGCTCGCTACTACGCGACGATCGCCGCGCTACGCGCTCGACACAGCGGAGTTTGCACTTTCGCACAGTCGCTCGGCCGTTGCAACATCTCGCGAAAGACGACGTCAGCGCGGTCAGCCGCGGGACAGCCCCGAGGGGCAGGAGGGAGGAGGCCACACCGCCAATCCCGCGCGTCTACGCTCTGCACCGCCGACTCTGCGCGTCTAGGTATAACTCGTGCGTCGTGACCGTTGGAGAGCGTCCGGACGGGGCCGTAAGTCTCCCCCAAGCCTCCCCTTTGCTGCGCGTTCGAATAGATGCCAAGTCACGAGTCCCCTCACGTGCCGCCTCTCGCCGTGATTTTCTGTACATTCTAATTCGACATACAACGACCGTTTGTCGCTTGTAGAGATTCAATTTCGCGGGTGGGAAGGGCAGAAAGTTCAAAGAGAGCGGACGAGGAGGGACACTGGGACCTCGCACGTGTTCCCGCCTGTGAAACATAACCTGCTGTCCCGAGATCGCTTCAAAAGTGTCATACGGGTTACAGCGATATTGCGCTACATGTGAGAAACGATTCGTCGAATCGACGTCGATCGAGAATCCTTTCTCGCTGGATTTAGAGGAGATTTCCCTATTATGAGACACGTTCCTAATATGGGACAGCAGGGTTTCTGCGGCGCCATCTGTTGGCTCCACCATGAATTTATTGTCTTCGGCTGTGTTCCGATATTCACTGCCAGTAATGCAAATCTCTACACATTTTCAGTACCGGCGGTGAATATCGGAATCACAGCCTTTCAAGTGAAATCTGTTTAGTGGAAAATTCGAATCCTATCGCGACGTTAGAGCTACTAGATAAAGGGGAGCTGACTCG